TAGCAGGAAGCCCTCTGTATTCGTGCAAAGATCTTTTTTTCTCCCCCAAACGGAATCAGGCCATTTTGGCAGTCCCCAGTTTCATGTGCCTTTTTGGTAGATAATGAGCCTCAGTAGCGAGAGCCCGGGAAAGGCCCCGGTACCCTGCCTACCGCTGGGTTACCAGATGACGGTGAAAGCAAGCCAGGGTTCTGCACCCCCACGTGTGCTTCTAAGCAAGCAGACACTAAAAACAGTCTATAAGTAAATTGAATGCACTCACTGCTGTCTCTTGAGTACTCCCAGCCTTTCCCTAAAGATTCCCCGGGGGCAGATGTGACCATGTCAGCGACAGAGGACAGTTTGCAGCGGGAAACCAATCGAGCATCGAGCCCAAGGCAGCCTTCTTGACAGACAGGGCAGCTTCCGGGCCTTTCTGGAGTCTTAGCACCTTGTTCACACCAGACCGGGGGTGTCTATTTCCAGTCAGTCCACGTTAACCCCGGAATCTTTATATCCGTTACATACTACGCAACAAGACCCCTTAGTTCACGTGAAAACCCATCTTGTTAATTGACGAGCTTCTGGTATAGTTTGGGGGTCACCGTAGCTGAAGCCGTGGACACCGCCATCTGGCCTCTGGATTAAATCTCGCTCATTACTCTAGATCAGGCACTAAGGGAACCTGTCGTCAGGGGAGCATAAAGGGGCCTGCGGGTGCCACTTTGAATAGCTGCTAGCCCGGAATGCCGTGTCTCTAGAAAACACTGGAACCGTTTCCCTTGTAGCCAGGAGGTCAGGATCCAGTTGTGGTGTGTCAAGGACCAGTGTTGTTCGTGGTAGTTTTACTCCAGAGAGCTTGCAGATAAACCAGCACGGAGCCTCCCTTTAATTACCCTGTGGCTTCAAGCAAACTAACATACTTAGAAACTGTAAGATTACTTGGCTCCAGTGGTACTTCTGCGAAGCTTTCTCTGTCCTAATCGTGTGACGCTGTTCTCTGTGTCCCCATAGCCCCTCTCTGTCCTTTGGAGGGGCCCTGCGACCGTGTCCCTCGGGTGTCGAAAGAGCAAAAGCCTCATGATTCTGCTTCTGCTCGGGGCCATTAGGTCAGCATCTCTCAGTGCCATGGTCGTACGATTTGTGCAAAATGGTCATTTGTATAAAAGTCGTACTCGTGTAACCTCACAAGAGCCTGTCTCAAAAGAAGACAAGTTTTGTCCTGTTAAAAAAAAAAATCTACGCAAAACTTCCTGTCCCCACTCCCCCCACCCATAACAGAACCCACCACCCAAGTGAGCAACTTGTCATTTTTGTTTTGTGACTCTGAGTAGCAGAAAAATGCTAAGTGTTCTCTAGCAAGCCCTAAAAGATGGATTTGCGTTGTGGTTTTATTTATTTATTTATTTTAATGTTTTTTGTTTTTTTTTTTAAACTTTTTTTTTCAACGTTTATTTTTGGGACAGAGAGAGACAGAGCATGAACGGGGGAGGGGCAGAGAGAGAGACAGGGAGACATAGAATCAGAAGCAGGTCCAGGCTCTGAGGTGGCAGCACAGGGCCCGACGCAGAGCTTTGAACTCACCAACGGTGAGATCATGACCTGAGCCAAAGTTGGTCGCTTAACCGGCTGAGCCACCTGGGTGCCCCTGCGTTGCGGTTTTAGATGGAACGGAAAGTGTTGTTAACCTCACAAAGTTCGGTGATTTAACATCAGCTTTTAGGCCAGTGGGCGTTGGGGGTGCCAGTGACAGACGCCATCTTGATTTCCTAGAAACCTGGTTTCACGTGTTCTGTTCTGTTGCCCACACACGCCCAGTCATAACTGTCAGACTTGTGGTTTAGCCTGTGTTGTAACGGTTTCTCGTGTAGTCAGAGGCATTTTCTACATGGCCCTGCTCTTGGTCACAAAAGGCCTTTGCATCCTACAGGAATCGTGCTTCTCCCCTCCCTCCTGAACACTCTGGGCGTTAGCAGCATCTGAAGCAGACCCTTCGTGGAATGTCCGTTGTGGTGGGTGACATGGCACCCCTGGTGTTACTGAACCAGCCATGCATTCCTGGGCAGAACAGGGCTTTCAGATAACGTAAGGCAGGATACTTCCATGGTGGTGGGAGTGGAAGACCCAGGAGGAGGGCACAGGGGTTCGAGGTAGAATTTACTTGCCTCCCCCATCATTTGTTGGTCCTCCAGCAGGAAATAGCATTGGATTTCCCCACGTGCATTCTCTTTTCACCTTGTTTTCCTCGCTTGGTTTGCAATTTTTTTAATTGGAAAATTGGGTGAGTTCTCTGTGAATGCGCATGATATTGAACAAAAAAAATAATGGGGACACTTGGGTGGCTCAGCAGTTAAGCATCCAACTCTTGATCTTGGCTCAGGTCATGGTCTTGCAGTTCTTGGGATCGAGCCCTGCGTTGAGCTCTGTGCTGACAGCTCGGAGCCTGCTTGGGATTCTCTCTCTTCCTCTCTTTGCCCGTCCCCTGCTCTCTTGTTCTTTCTCTCGTAATAAAGAAATAGACATTTAAAAATGAAGTATGATTTTAGTGAATTATCCTCTTGTTTTCAATTGCAAAAGTCAATATTACTGAGGTATAATTTGCACATAATATAGTTCAAATTTTTCTGCGGTAGCATCCCAATACTTAAGTACTCGTTTTTTGTACATAGAGCAAATATTTCTGTGATAAATGTAGGCCTAACATGGGAAAGGTGAGAAGGGTCCTGGTGGGTAGGAGCATGGGTGGGTGGACTGGACACCCAGTAGAAGGGTGTGGGCCACGTGTAATCTATTCATAGTAAATAGAAGGAACTAATTATGTTTTTTAAATTTTAAATTTTAAAATTATTTACAGGATCCTAAGATATCTTCCTTGGTGATTTATAAAAATTAAGCTGAGTTTTGCATCAAATAAAATTCACCCTTTTTAGGTGTACAGTTGGACAGGGTTAGACAAATGTGTATTGTAGGGAGCCCAACACCGTGGCCCAGAGAGAGAATATTTCCTTCCCTTGGGAAAGCTTCCATTTGCCTTTGTGTAGTCTGTGTAGCCCGGCCCTGGGAACCACTGATCTCTTTTGTTTCCACGGTCTGTTTTCTTCAGAATGTCCGGTGAATGGGCTCCTACAGTATGTAGTGTGTTATGTCTTGCTTCTTTTGTACAACGTCCATCCACGTTGTTGGGTATTTCACTGGTTTGTTCCTTTTTATCACCCAGTAATATTCCACTGTGTGAATGGACCACGATGTCCTTGACCATTCTCCACTTGGTGGGCATTTGGGTTGTTTCCATTTGAGGGCTGTTGAGAGTCAAGTGGCTTTGGACATTCATGCGCAAGTCTTACATTTCTCCCGGGTCACTGGGATTGGGATCGCTGGCACATACGGTGAGTTAGGTTTCACTTTATACGAAACTGGCAGACTTTTCCAAAGTGGCTGTACCATTTTGTATTCTTCCCAGGGTGATAGGAGCGTTCTGGTTCTGTCTCCTTGCTGGTCTTGCTTCAAAACGTCAGCCATTTTAGTGGGTGTGTGCTGGTATCTCTTTGTGCTCATTTTATTTTGCTTTTCTCGAATAACCGACGACGTTGAGCATCTTCTCATAGACTGTTGACCACTTACGTATCTTCTTTGATGAAATAACTGTATAAATATTTTCCCCAGTGTTTTCCTTGGGCTATTTGTCTTGTTAACTGAGTTGTAAGAGCTTTTTAAATAATCATGCGAACAAGTCTTTTATCAGGTAGGTGTTTTGCAAATATTCTCTGCCAGTGTGTGGTATCACTCTTCATTTTCTTTACAGTGACTTTTGAAGAAGTTTTAGATTCTGATGAAACCCAGTTTATCTGTTTTTAATTGATAAACCCTAAAGCTTCATGCTCTTTGCATTCTTTCTAGGACATCTTTTTCTGCTAAGGTCATAAATGATGGTCTCTTATTTTTGTTTTGGAAGCTTTACAGTTTTAGCCTATCCTTTTAGGTTTGTGATCTCTTTTGTGTTAACTTTTTTACGTGGTATGAAGTGTCTAGGTTCTTTTGGTTTCATTTTACACATTTCTCAAGCACTGTTTGTTGAATAGATTGGCTTTCTCTATTAAATTACCTCGGCGCCTTTTGTTGAAGGTGAGTTGACTGTTCCCATGTGGTCTATTTGTGGACTCTCTTCTGATCCCTTGATCTGTTATCTCTAGCCTCCCACCAATACCAATCTATCCTAATAAACACAGCTTTCTGAATTCTAGTAATGTGAGTCCCTGAGCTCTGGTCCTCTTTCTCAACATGGTTGTGATTTTTTTTGTCCTTTCCATTTCCCTGTAAATCTTGGAATCAGCTTGTCCATTTCCCCCCGAGGAAAGCCCTCCAGTCCCTTGACCATTTATTTGGGTGATGAGCGAGTGTATAGTGTTTTTACATCATTGTCATTGTTAAGTTTCTTTGTTTTGCAAAGGGTTTAATTTGGCCTTTATATCTGTATTTATAGGGGAGATACTTGCTTTTATTTTTGCTTTCTTGTTTTTATGACAGCTTTACCGTTTGGGGTATTCCATATTACAGGAACTTTATGAAATGAGTTACAAAACAATCCGTTTTCCATTTCCTTAAAACAGTTCTGTGTGTCGTGGGGAGACCAAGTATTCCTTAGGGATTTGCAAAACTGTTACACCAGACCAATCCATCATTTTTTCAAGAAGTAATTCTATTAGGGCCGAATGCAGTATTCCTTTAATGCTGTCAAATGTCTTTGATCTCAGATTATGTGGAAGAGCTTCTTAAAAATTGTAAATGATTAGGGTCTCATTTTTACTATGTCACAGTCCAGGAAGGTAGCCTATCTGATTGCTGCTTTTTTGGGAACTGATCCAGGCTTTTTCCTTGTCTTTCTATTCGAGGCAGTAATTAAGACCCATGTTTGCAACCAACTGATGGATACTTACAGTGAGGCACTGGCTTGTTACTTTCCTACAGTGTTCACACCCTCTGTGTCCTTACTTACTTTCAATTTTCTCCTGATTTACTTCCAGGGCAAGTTCATCCGCATCAACTTTGATGTAACTGGCTACATCGTTGGGGCCAACATTGAAACATGTATCCTTTTCCGTAACTGCATAATCCAAACCGAAGAGGCGGTTGATCTTCCTCTGGCCCAGGGCAGCCCCGTGTGGCATCACTCCCACTCCCCAGGTGATCAGACTGAAGCCCAGAGGGATCATGACGTGGTCAGACACTTCCAGCTACTGAATGTTCATGCCAGAGTGTGGTGGTGGTGGTGGTGGTGGTTTTTCATGCCAGTCCATACCGTGTTCACACAGCCGGGGTAGAGGAGAGTCCCACTGAGGGGAGAATCACCTGCACTTGAACCCAGGAAACGTTGGTGAGGTAGGAGAGCCTTGAGGTGAGCACCTCCTATTGAACTGCTCCTGAGTCCATGTTGGGTTAGCCCTTGTTTACCATCTGCTCGCGGTATTAGTGGGATGGGCATATACCGCCCCCCCCCCCACAAGCCTTCTGCAAGGGCACAGTTCCAGTAGTTTCAGTTAGCGTTACGCAGAATATAAGTAGAGGAGAAACAAATGTCAAATACAAAGAGTCGTCCTACAAGATGTCATTTGCATAGAAGGGCCTTAAGAAAAGAGAAGTCTATGTAGAATTACTTCGATTAAAGAGGTAAGGGGCACCTGGGTGGCTCAGTCGGTTAAGTATCTGACTTCAGCTCAGGTCATGATCTCCTGGTTCAGGAGTTCGAGCCCCGCGTCGGGCTCTGTCTCTCAAAAATAAATAAACATTTAAAAAAATTGAAACAGAGGTAATAAAATGGAAAGGATTCCAAGTGATAGTGTCCCAATTAAGAAGGATACAGGTGACAGTTCTCTGCTACCTCTGACAAGTATCAGGGACCCTGTGATAGAAGTACAACCTTTCGATCCCTCAGGTAAGGGATAATTCAGAATTGTATTTTACGTCTCCAGATACGCTCAGAGCCAGAAAGTTACAAGAAACACTTGGAAATGACCGGGGAATAAATCTCAAGTTTCTTCACCTTGGTCCTGCCATGACCGCTTTCCTGTAAATGTATTTGCCCCCAAACATGGACGATGTGTTTGGGATAATCTGATTTACAGAATGGATTCACTTTGGTGAAGTGAAGGGAAAGCTGACTTCAGAAGAGGTGGTCATCTTCCAGAGCAGAGAAACGGAGATTGTGTAACAGCCCAGGGTGACTGTCGACCGGAGACCCCACATGGGTCCCAGAGATGCACCCCAAACGCACAGGCGGGTGTGCTGTGGTCTGAAGTGCAGAAGCAGGTTGGGGGTGAGCCTCTGGCGTGTGGGAAGCCCAGGCGGAGGGGTTGTGGCCGGCTCTGGACAACCAGCATAGGGGGCCGGTGGTCAGTCTGGTCAGGGCCATCTCGGGGTATTTGGAAAGTGGATGTAGAGGGACCGGAGCCACTTGTACGAGGCTGTGTGTGCCAGGCTCTTGGGGACCACGGTGGCCAAGCACACGTCCTGAGGTCCACCTGAGCCCTGATTTCTGTCCCTGCACTCATGAGCTATGTTATTTTGAGCAATTTCCTTTGTGCCTTGGCTTCTTTGTTCATAAAGTTGTGATAAACTCCCAGAAGGCTTTTTCAGCCTTCAAAGGCTTGAGCTCATTTTCTATAGCTTCTTAGAGTTCCTTGTTTAGTGCTGTGTTCTTTGACTATAACGCAGATGAGGGGGGG